CGGTACAAGTCCATCGTGAGTCACGATAATTCGTTCGTAACTGATTGCAACTATAAGCAGATGCTGGTTTATCTTGCTGCTGATTGTCAACTGCACTGTAAAGAAGTAAAGACCAACGGGTACATTCGATCGAAACGAGAATCACAAGATGTGCAACCGTGCACAATTTCAAAAAACGAAAAAAAAACGAAAACGGAAATGTATGCGTGCAATCCTAAAGAAGATAAGACGAAGGAAGGAAGAAACGCGGAGCTCGGTCTGTTATTTGTTGTATGTATGTCTCTCGAATATCTGGCGCACACTTCTTTTCCGTACTGCCAATGCTGAATATACTCTATATACATATTCGTATTCCAGGCGAATAAAAAAAAACTCGTAGGAAGGATTTTCCCTGTGAAACAGATACGAATGATACGTCGATCATTGTGAAAGATACGATATAAATGTAGGATGTCGAGAAGAAAAAAAAAAAAAAAAAAGAAAAAGGAACGATGTGACATTAAAAAATATTGCATGACACCGATAGTATTATTAGCGTATTCGAACTCTTAAGGATCACGTGGTCACGAGCGTATGTACATTTTTGTAATGCCATATTATTTGTTAGTAAATATAAATTATATATAATTATATATATATGTATGATTAATATTGTATAATTATATATAATTATATAATATATACATATTGTGAGATAGAGAATTATGAAATTAGAGATTTATTAGTCATTAAATATATACATATAGTATATATATATATATAAAAATTGAGAAGAAAAGAAAGAGCATAGATGAAAGGACAGAAGAGTAATGTAGAACTAAGCGCGTGTTGCGATTTAATCGAGATTTATGCGCCGGATGCGAATTGGAATTTTTATTTGTTAATATTTTTGAGATACACGTTGAGACACACGCACTCACACTCACACTTACACTCACACGAGACCAAAGAGAACATCCTTCGTGAGCGAGAGAACCGTTGACGTCGTCTAGCTCAATCTACTTGTATAAAAATCGATCGTAATCTTTCTTTTCTAAGTGATTGTAAATTTTTACTGTTCGCTGAACCGTTGATGTTCGTCGTTTGTTTCATTCTCTATGTCTCCCACCCCCCTATCTTTTTATATACAACATCACCAAATAAATACATATACGTAATTGTAATATACGTGTGTGTTATATTATGTGAATGACGTGCTACTTACTTACGGACTCTGTGGTCGTGTCCGTTCAAAATGAAAGGAATCATCGAGAAGAGAATCGCAAAATGCAAAATCAACGGTCGATAAGGGACTTAAAATTAGTATAGTCCGCTGCCTAGTCGAAAAATCGGGATATTATTTATATTTCCTTTTCTTCTTCTTCTTC